GATGGAGAGACAACCAGATCCGGAAAGCCCCTTCTCGGGTTGAGTAGATCCACCGCGTTTGCTCGTTCTGAACAGAGGAGAGGCGACGATGAGAGGAGGAGTGTGAGAGACGACAATGGCGAGAGGAGGAGCGGTAGAGACAACGACAAGAGGAGCAGTAGAAGAGGTGACGACGGAAAAACGGAGACGAGATCCGGTGAACAAAAGAGCAACAAGACAAGACAGTGACATGGTAAGATGCGAGATAACTTCGGTGGAGAGCGGGAGCAGAGATAAGCGGCGACGCCGGCGAGCTCGAACGCCGCCGGCGCCGATAAATTCAAAACGTGAGCGGCGGCCTCGTAAAACGTGTCAGAGAGCAAATGTCAACTAGGGCGAACTCGTTGGTTTTCTTTACGGTGTGTACCTCTCTTTCTCGTTTATGTTCTTTAGGCAACTTGAGCTCTAGTCTCACCTGTTAAGGAAATATAATATATATAGAGGACCTCCTTGTAAATATCATATTCTACATTTACCCTACTTCTACACATCTTTATATATACTCTCTACTATTAAACGTATCTATTCAGCCTCAATACTTATATGGTATCAGAGCACGCTTCTATACCTAAAATTTTAAGCCGTCATCTCTAGTTTTTCAAAATTTTCTTGTGCTTCATCATGTCTGAAAGCACTAACTCACATGATTCAACTCATGAGACCATTGTTGTCTCCAACACCACGAATCTTCTTCATATCAACACGACTACACCACGAATCTTCTTCATATCAACATGAGCAACGTCACGAAGCTCACCTCATCAAACTACCTCATGTAGAGCCGACAGATTCATGCTCTTCTGGACGGCTATGACCTCACCGGACACGTTGATGGATCACGCGCACCTCCATCACTCATGATTGACACCGATGATGGATCTGTAACCAACCCAGCCTACACGTTGTGGAACCCTCAAGATCGCCTGATCTACAGCGCTTTGATAGGCGCAATCACACCGTCTCTGCAACCACTCACATCGACGGCTAATACTGCAGCAGAGATCTGGACAACGCTCAACCTGACGTACGCCAAACCCACCAGAGCTCACATCAAACAACTTCATCAACATCTCAAGAACTGGAGCAAGGGTAGTAAGTCCATTAATGAGTACTTTCAAGGTCTTACTACTCGTTTTGATCAGCTAGCGTTACTTGGCAAGCCCTTGGATCAAGAGGATCAGATCGAGCACATACTTGAAGGACTGCCAGAGGATTACAAGATCGTAGCTGATCAGATTGAAGGACGTGAAGCTCCACCCTCCCTTACTGAGATACATGAGAAACTTCTCAACCATGAGGCCAAGCTGCAACTTGTATCCACGCCTGTCTCCTCTTTTCCAGTCACCGCCAACTTCAGCAACTACCGTGGTTCTTCGAATCATCATCCCAACCGCCAGAACACCAATCGCCGTGAAGGATCTGGACGTGGTTATCAAAACAATCACCAAACATGGCAGCAGCAACAGCTTGTACCATCACAACAACAAGGTGCAGGAAGAGGTTATCAGGGTCGTTGTCAAATTTGTTCAGTTTATGGACATAGTGCTCGTCGATGCTCTCAGTTGCAGGGATACTCTGCACATCAGAATCCAACCGCCACATCTCAGCCTTGGCAACCACGTGCAAATGCTGCTCAACCAAAACTCTACAATGCAAATTCTTGGCTACTCGACAGTGGAGCCACACACCACCTTACGTCTGATTTGAATAATCTAGCGCTTCATCAACCATATCATGGAGGAGAAGAAGTCGCCATTGCTGATGGTACAGGACTGCAGATCACACATACTGGTTCTACTTCAATCCCTACTCTTTCTAAGACACTGCAACTAAAAGATATATTATGTGTTTCTAGTGTCAACAAAAACTTGATTTCTGTTTACCGCCTATGTAATGCTAATCAAGTTTCGGTGGAATTCTTTCCGGCGTCTTTTCAGGTGAAGGATCTGAGCACGGGGGTCCGGTTGCTTCAAGGCAGAACGTGGGATGATTTGTACGAGTGGCCAATGCCCTTCCCCAACCCATCAGTCTCCTACGCCTCCTATCCAGACACTAAAACTACCCTCTCCCAATGGCATCAGCGGCTTGGCCACCCTTCATCATCTATTCTTAAATCTGTTGTTTCTCAGTTTTTATTACCATGTTCTAATAACTCTTTGAGCTCTTTTCCTTGCAATGATTGTCTCCTTAATAAAACACAAAAACTTCCTTTTCATCAAACCACTATTGTTTCATCTCAACCTCTTGAATATCTCTTTACTGATGTTTGGCAATCTCCCATCCTCTCCACTCAAAATTACAAATATTATCTCTTGATTGTTGATCACTTCACATGCTATACGTGGATGTTCCCTCTCTCAGCGAAATCTCAAGTGAAAGAAATTTTCACAGCTTTTAAATCCCTTGTAGAGAATCGCTTTCAAACCAAAATAAAAACCCTCTTTTCTGATAATGGTGGTGAGTATCTTGCTTTACGCCACTTTCTTGCTTCTCAAGGGATCGCTCATCTTACCTCTCCACCTCATACCCCTGAACACAATGGTTTGTCTGAAAGAAAACATCGCCATCTGGTTGAAACTGGGTGTCTCTTCTTTCTTCAGCAAACATACCTCTAACCTACTGGACTCTTGCTTTTGCCACTGCCGTCTTCCTTATTAACCGTATGCCAACCCCGATCCATTCCAATACATCACCTTACCACAAACTATTCCAAACCCAACCAAACTACCATAAGCTCCGAACTTTCGGATGCCTTTGTTATCCATGGTTAAGGCCATATTCTCCAAACAAGCTTGAAAACCGACCTGTTCCATGTCTCTTTGTTGGCTATTCTCTGACCCAAAGTGATTATTTGTGCTTAGAACCCATCTCTGGGCGAATCTATACATCTCGTCATGTTCGATTCAATGAGAAAGAATACCCATTTCCCAGACTTATGCAGTCAACTTCACCCTCTACACCTGAACCCTCGCCATCATCACCATCACACCCTCCTCACACTGTTATACCAGTGCCTTCTCCTCCACTCGTACAATCTCCAGCGCCTGCTATGAACAACCAGACCACTGTCTTGGAACCAACACCAGTGCCGGTCGATCATGCTACAAGCTCTGTTGCACCTGCAGCTACGTCCTCTCCAGTTAGACAATCTGTGAATGATGTTGCAGAAAATTCCTCACCACCTGCACCACTGAGGCACTCGATGACAACCAGATCGCGAAATAATATCATCAAGCCGGTGACAAGATACAATCTCACCGCCAGCTTACACACTGATCCGCACTGGATACCATCGACATGGCAACAAGCAATGCAACTTGCCCATTGGCGAGAAGCAATGAGTTCTGAATTTGACTCCACCAACAGTAATCGTACGTGGGATCTTGTTGCTTACTCAGACGATATTAATGTTGTTGGTTGCCGTTGGGTCTTTACTATTAAGTACAACCCTGATGGAAGCATAGCAAAATACAAAGCCCGGATTGTTGCGAAAGGATTTCATCAACAGGAAGGTGTCGATTACACAGACACATTCAGCCCGGTAATTAAATCCACCACCATCAGGATTGTACTTGGTCTAGCAGTAAACAAAGATTGGCCAGTGCGGAAAATTGATGTCAACACTGCTTTCCTTCAAGGACATCTCCAAGAAGAGGTCTTTATGTCACAGCCACCAGGTTTTACAGATTCAGATCGCCCTAATCATGTATGTAAACTAAGGAAAGCTATCAATGGCCTCAAACAGGCGCCTCGAGCTTGGTACTCTGAGCTTCGATCATACCTACTTTCAGCTGGCTTTAGTAACTCTTTGTCTGATACGTCGCTCTTTATCTTCAAGTCGGGACGCGACTTAATCTATGTGTTGGTCTATGTCGATGATATTCTGGTTACTGGAAGCAATAACACTCTCATTCAGCGAGTTATTGATGCTTTGGCAAATCGTTTTTCTATCAAGGACATGGGAACTCTGAGCTATATCCTCGGAATTGAAACAAAGCGAACTCCAAAGAAAGTATGTTACAGATCCTCTTACCAAAGCGAACATGCTTCATACCAAACCAGTGGCTACTCCTCTTCCTACTTCACCGAAACTTGTACTCAACTCGGGGGAACCACTTTCAGACCCACGTGAATATCAATGGCTTGTTGGGAGTCTTCAGTACTTGGCTATGACTCGCCCTGACATCTCTTATGTTGTTAACAGGTTATCCCAGTTCATGCATCAACCTACCTCTGAGCATTGGCAAGCTGTCAAGAGGGTTCTGCGCTATCTCTCGGGAACTCTTTCTCACGATATCTTCTTGCGCAAACAGCATACAACGTCACTTCATGCATATTCAGATGCAGATTGGGCGGGAGATTCAGATGACTATGTTTCTACCAATGCCTACATCATCTATCTAGGTTCTCAGCTGATTTCGTGGACATCAAAGAAACACAAAGGGGTGGCGCGTTCGTCTACGGAAGCTGAATATCGCTCTGTCGCAAACACAGCTTCGGAACTACGATGGATCTGTTCATTGTTAACAGAAATGGGAGTTACAATACCAACAATGCCGACTGTGTACTGTGATAACATTGGCACCACTTATCTCTGTGCTAATCCAGTTTTTCATACAAGAATGAAGCACATAGCCATTGATTATTATTTTGTCCGGGGTCAGATACAATCCGGGGCCCTTCGTGTCTCCCACGTCTCGACTAAAGATCAATTAGCAGATAGCCTGACCAAACCATTGTCAAGACCTACTTTCCAAGCATCAAGGTCCAAGATTGGTGTCACTCAAGTATCACCATCTTGAGGGGGCGTGTTAAGGAAATATAATATATATAGAGGACCTCCTTGTAAATACCATATTCTACATTTACCCTACTTGTACACATCTGTATATATACTCTCTACTACTCTAATAAACGTATCTATTCAGCCTCAATACCTATATCACCTCTCAACGTAATCAATGGAGGTTAACACTCAAACAATACAAAAGTCAAAGTTTAGGAGAATATGTGTCTTCTGTGGAAGCAGCCAAGGCAACAAGAGTAGTTACCAACATGCTGCTGTCGATCTTGGCAACGAACTGGTATTACATACGTTTCTCGATTCTTTTTTTAACTTTTTTTGACTGTTTATGTTCACCAAATGTTTGAAAATATGTTTTGTGTGCATGTTTTGTTTCTTTCACTTGTTTTTTTAAAATGCAGAGCATTTCCTCTGTTTTCTTTATAAAACCTTATAAAGTATTCTTGATGTGTGATGAAACTTTTGCTTCTTTGATAACTCAAAAAGATTATATTCATATTTGGTTTTGTTTCTCTTCTTAGCTCTCTCTTGTTTGGTTTTGCAGGTTTCAAGGAACATTGATCTAGTCTATGGAGGTGGAAGCATAGGTTTAATGGGTTTTGTTTCACAAGCTGTTCATGATGGTGGTCGTCATGTTATAGGGTAACTCTCTGTCTAACCACTTAATATGAGATTTTAAGGATATAGTTCAGACATACCAACAAGTCTCTTTTTTTTGTCATTTTTGCCAGAGTTATTCCCAAGACACTCATGCCTAGAGAGGTTTGCTTATTGATTATTCTTTGTTAACTGTTACTTACAAATCCTTAATTCAAACCCTGTTCATATTAGTATATTACACACTAGTTTCCTATGGTGGAGAGCTTAATAACTAAGTCTTGTGAGGAAATTTAAAATAAGCCAAATTGTTTACATTGCCATCATTGCTTCTGGTCATAGAACAACCTAAAGCTGCTTTTGCTTTCTTTAGTTTAATTTTATTTAATAGTTTAAAGATTAAATGGTTAAATGGGGTTCTCTTTTGGGCAGTTAACCGGTGAAACAGTAGGAGAAGTAAGAGCAGTTGCAGATATGCATCAAAGGAAGGCAGAGATGGCTAGACACTCTGATGCTTTTATTGCCTTACCAGGTTAGTACTTCTTCAAAGTCCCCTACTGGCTGGTTGAAAAGTCTTTGTTTTCTTTTATCTTTGTTTTCTCTCTGTAATGTCTGTTACAAGTTTAGTTTTCCAACAAACAAGTAATGATTATGTAAGATATAACTTGTCAAAGCCTAGTTACAGCCTTGTTTAAGAATCTAATAAGCATCTTTCTAGGCTTTGTAACTTCTTAATTGTCCAAACCAATTAAATAAAGGAAGAAAAATGCTGATTAAGATACCAATGAAAAGGGTTTAACCCTTTGACTAGTTTTGCCAAAGAGGTGGGAAGATATATTGGCAACCTGTAGTGTGAAAGCTATTCTTTTATGTTTAAAATTTTCAAAAGTACAGTATACTGGCTTATTTTTTGTTATGATTTTTGGCTTTCTGTATAGTTTAAAAAAATTTATAAAGATGCCTTGACCCATCCAGGCATCAACATCTCGCACTGAAAATTAGACCAAACTCTTCTCTTTGCTCTGTGTCTTTGTCATTGGCATTTTACTTGGGGGTTACTTTATATAGCTTGTGATGTATTGTTACTGTGACCAAAGTTCTAATTTTTATTACCTGTTTCATATAGAAAGACAAAACCTGAATTAGTCCTAGAGAAAAGCATGTTTTGCCCATATAGGAAGGTCTTGTTCTTCAATATGAACCTGCTTTTGTGATCATGTCTATATCTAAATAGAGTCAGAAGACAGTGTCTGGCTGTCTGCAGATGAAGCATACTCTTTAGTTGACCGTATTAACAATTACAAATAATATAAAGTATACAGATTATAATCAGTGCCTTATAATATATTTTTTATTTTGAAATTGCAGGTGGATATGGAACACTTGAAGAACTGTTGGAGGTCATAACATGGGCTCAACTTGGGATACATGACAAACCGGTAATTTTAAAGATATAATTTTAAACACAAAGTCATCAAAGAGCTAATGATCATTGTTTTGCTGCAGGTGGGTTTGCTTAATGTTGATGGATACTACAACTCTTTGCTCTCTTTCATTGATAATGCTGTTGAAGAAGGATTCATCAGTCCCAACGCACGCCAGATCATTATCTCTGCACCTACAGCTAAGGAGCTTGTAAAGAAACTTGAGGTAACTTTGTCAACTGGCATTTTGATGCATCCAGAAGAAAGAAACATATAAACTGTTGTTGTTGTTGTCTATTTGCAGGAATATTCGCCTTGCCGTGAAAGTGTTGCGTCAAAGCTTTGCTGGGAGATTGAGCGGATTGGCTACTCTTCTGAAGACTGATACTAATCAGGATCTAGATAAAGTCATAAAACATATAACTATTGAATGTCAGAAGATTTCAAGATAGAACTTACTCTTTTAAGATCTTAGAAGCTTTTGATTAAGAGGGCAAACTAAATTTAAAATTTTTACCCAAGGAAAAGTGTTTTGTGTAAATACTACTTTTCTTTAACTCTGTTAAATGCTTTTGGCCTTCTATTTTTTTTTTTTATAATTGATGTAAAACTTTATATGCAAACAAAAAAATGATCAACTTTTAATCTTCATATTAGAGAATCAACATTTGTAGTCTATACAACATTTGACTAAACCAAACAAACAAGTAGTTTCACTCTCGGTTACAAGACTAAGATTCACAGTAATGATTTACTCTAATCTCTATCCCCTTACACAATCAAAGCTACCTGGTTAGAGATTAGATTGATTCATCTTCTTCGTCAGTTTCACCAAGACCATAGCAGAACTCTGAAGAACTAGATGAGTCCTCAGTCTCTAACCCCTTAAGCTTCTGCACTGCATCTTGCACATCAAAGAAAAGAGCATCTTTAGCTGCTCTCACGTTAGTCTGATTATCCATAGGTCTAACATTCTCTTTCCCGACAAGCCGCTTATACTCTGCTCTTCTCTTAGCTTCCCTCAGATGAAGATGATCAATGTACTTCTCATGCAACGCCTTGTTTTTCACCTGTTTCAGCACTGGAGGGCTAACGAGACTCGTTTGATCTTTACTTGAGCCAGGCCTTATTGGACTTTCAATGATTCTCGGAAGACTTTTCCCTTTCTCCGTTGGAGTTGAGAGGAAGCTGCTTGTGGCAACGCCAGGCTCAAGAACTGAGAAGAGATCACATCCAAGACCTTGATCCATATGATTCTGCTTCTCCACTAGATGCCTGATCGCTTTCTTAGAGAGATTACCTTTCCTCTGCCGTATCTTAGTCTTTGGTGAGTTAGGTTTCAGTAGCTTACTTGCAGATAGAGAAAACTGCGGGATTGGTGATAAGTTCGACTTCTTGGCTCTTGACCTAGGCTGAGTTTGACGAGGAGTGATGAGATCTGCGTTGACTCTATCGAAACACTCCTGAGCAGATTTTCCAGGGACCATCTTAGAAACCTTTTTCCAGAAGTTAGGACTTGGCTTCACTGTCAGATAAGCTCCCTGTAAAGCTAACTCAAGCTCATCTGTCCATCCTCTCTCGTTCTTCGTCTTCACTCCTTCTTCCTTCTCTATTCCCTTCCCTTCATCAGCTTTATCCTTTGAAAGTCTCATCCTTTTCACCTCATTAAGGCAGACACTAACCTCTTCTTCATCACCATCATCATGACAATCACAATCAATACAAATCTGCTTAGTATTTGGACAAGGACGAGTTCTACTTATATCCCTAGACCTCACACCATTTCCTTTCCCCTCACCAACACAAACACTAACTTCTTCTTCTTCTCTAACCACTTGATTAGTCTTTGGACCACTTCTACTTCTGTCTCTACCTTCCACACCAGATTTGGCACTACTACAACTACTCAACACACTGTTACCTGATTGAAAATGATACAGAGACCTTCCTTCTCCATTAGAGAACCTAGGAGAGCGTCTCAGAGTGAAAGAGCTTGATGGGGTCGATGCTAAAGGCTTCGTGGAGCTTAAAGGTGGAGACTTTTCGAAAACCCCTCTTTTCGAAACCCTAAGCGATTTTGGGGATTTCTTGGGTTCTGCTCCGAGTTCGCGGCGGGTTTTCTTCGGTGGTTCCGAGCCAAAGCTCAGATCTTTCGTGGGTTTTTGTTGACTATGCCGAGAGATAAGCCTCGCGGAGCGGCGGAGAATCGGTTGGGGCAAGACGACGGGAGATTTCTTTCTCGACATATTGCAACGGAGCAGCGAATTAGGAGATTGGTAAAACCCTAGAACGCCTTAGACTTCCGATGTGGCTCTCTCGGGGTCGTTGAGAATCAGAAGTAAAAGCTTGGGGACGAAGAAAAATCGAAACTTGATTTGCTTCAAGGTCTTAACGGTAGTTGCTTTTGCTCTCAAATGGGGTTTATTCGAGAATCAGAGATTCACCCATCTGTTAGATGTGTGTTTCAATTTTCAGTTACGCGTAGCGGCGACTAGTGAATGACATTGCTTTGGTTTAGCTATTTTTTCTTTTTTTTTTCTATCCAAAGCCTCTGACGGATCTAAAGTTTGAGTGAAGTGACAATTGACAAAGCCCATATATGTAATTGGAGTGGACCTATATGACTAAAACAAATCATAGTTTAGTTTCAACAGTTAAAGAGCTTTTCCAATATGTTATTCTATTTCTTCTTTTAAAATTGATTAATTTTAGAACAGAATAAAAGTTTCACTATATTTCTACTTCTAAAAAGTAAAATATTAACTAAAAATAAACTGATAAATATATATATATATATATATATTGCAAAAAATATATTTTTAAATATATTCATTTTTATTTTATTTTGAATGAACGAAAAATAGAAGAAAAAAAAAATTTTCCAATATAGAGTGAAAATATAATGAATTAGAAATGTCATATCTGCAATAAACTGAATTTGTAGGCCTACAAATAAAAAACTTATTTATTTATTGTCCGAGATTTATTCATAAAAAGTATTTTCTTGCAAATGTTTAAACAGCTTTATGTGACTACCATGCTATTCCTTAGCTAGTTCTTATAAACTTAAAACAAAACTTTTATTTATGGCAAACTTGTTGTATATATAAACATGACTATTATTCAACAACCCTTCTTAAAGAAATTTAAATACTCCAAAGTATATTGTCAAAAATAAAACATTCATCCAATTTGGGCCAAACCCAACTGATTCTATAAATTTCTTCAAAACCCATATACACTTGGGCTGGGCCGTCAAGGACAAACTCGTAATTTCCCAAATAAAAAACCCTAGCTCTCTCCCACCACTTTTATTCTCACCAAAACCCTAAAACTTTCATTTCCTCTCCGCCTCCCACACACCAAACCCTAACAAACCCAAAAATGCCTCCGAAGTTGGACCCAACCGCGATCGTGGACGTCTACGTCCGCGTAACCGGAGGCGAAGTCGGAGCCGCGAGCTCCCTCGCCCCCAAGATCGGTCCCCTCGGTCTCGCCCCCAAGAAAATCGGAGAAGACATCGCAAAAGAAACCGCCAAAGAGTGGAAAGGCCTCCGCGTAACCGTCAAGCTCACGGTCCAGAACCGTCAGGCGAAAGTCACGGTGGTCCCCTCTGCAGCTGCCCTCGTGATAAAGGCCTTGAAGGAGCCGGAGAGGGATAGGAAGAAGGTGAAGAACATTAAGCACAACGGGAACATATCGTTCGATGACGTGGTGGAGATCGCGAGGATCATGAGGCCGAGGTCGATCGCGAAGGAGTTGAGTGGGACCGTTAGGGAGATTTTGGGGACGTGTGTGTCTGTTGGGTGTACTGTTGATGGGAAGGATCCTAAGGATCTTCAGGGGGAGATTCAGGAGGGTGAGATTGAGATTCCTGAGAACTAAGAGGGAAGATATTGTCTTTATCGTTAGATGTTGTCTTGTTTTTATTACAATGACTCAAGTTTTGGATTATTATTCAACGTTGAAAGGGTTTATTATTTTGCGATTTAAAGGTTAGTTTTTTTTTTTTTTGGTGTACTTAAATGCTTTATTTGTTTGATTTTAAACTGTTTAGGTTGTGATTGTTATCTTGATAATGGTAGAAAGATGGAAACTTTACGCTGTTTGATTCAGTTTCTGGAATGATTGTTGTTTGCTGTGTAAGTTATATACATTGGTAGTAGGGTTCACTGAAAATCATCTGTCTCTCTGCATATGATCAGTTTTTAGAAGGGTTGTTGTTTGCTAGCTAAGTTATACACTTTTAGGGTTCACCGAATCATCTTTCTCTGGATATGATTCAATTTTTAAAAGGGTTGATGTCTGTTACTGGTAGGGTTCACTGAATAAATATCATAATAGATTACCTTCTGCAATTAGTCGCATCCTTTATGTTATCAGTGGAATACGCGCATCTATCTGTCTCTGCATACGGATCATCAGTGTTGAGTATCATTCATAGTTTTTTTTGTCTATTCATTATAGCTTTTCCTGGAGTTGTTTTTCTTTGTTGCTTGTGTGACTGAGAGAACACGAAACATTGGATGATCATAAAGTTCTATTATCACTATATTAGATTCAGTTGTATGAAGCATTAGAACTTCAACAACCAGATTAGGGTTTAGTTATCAAGAAGTTTAAAACGAAAAATAAAACTTGAAAATCATCATAATCTAAAGCTATAATCGTAGAACAACGGATGAAATGCTTTATTTGTTTGATGACTTTATTTTATTAAAGTTGGGAACTTTAATTTGTTTAAGTTGTGATTGTTTTCTTGATTATGGTATTTTGATTATTGACGGTAGAAAGATGGAAACTCTACGCTCTTTGATTTAGTTTCTGGAATGATTGTTTGTTGCTGTCTAAGTTATATACACGGTTTACCGTCTCTGCATATGATTCAGTTTCTAGAAGTGGTTGTTGTTACTGTTGTTAGCTGCCTAAGTTTTACACTGTTAGGGTTCACTGCATATTTATCATAGACGATTTTCTTCTGCAATTAGTCTCATCCTCTTTGGTCTCAGTTGGATACTCTGCGTCTCTATGCTGATATCTTATTAGTCTCATTCTCCATTCAAAGTCTCGAGTATCATTAGGGTTTGTGTAACAGTGAAAGCTATAGCTTTTTTCCCATTTATTATATAGCTTTATTTGGATACAGATACAGTGATCTATCCATATTTCATAATTTTTTTTTCTTAATTTTTTTTTTATCAAAACCCAAACCCCCAAACTAAATCTTTCCTGGTGTTCAAAACTAAAGCCTAAACTCCTTTATGGATTAGTGAATCCTTTGGTAAATATTTAAGTTCTATATCTTTCAAATTTTGAAAAAATATATTTTAAAATCATTTTAATCATACATATTTTGATGGTTTTCGCAAAAATATGAAAATTTGTTTTTTTTTTTTGAAATATTTTTTTAATCAAATTCTATAAATTAAATAAAAAATATTCACGTTTCCACTTTAATTTTATGATTTTTCGTTGGACACATAAAATTAAAAGAAGAAATGGGTCCTAGAAAGATTAGAGAATGAGATATAGGGGTAAGAGAGTAATTGACTCGTTTTTAGGCATCTTCTCCCATGCGCCTATTTTTTTAGAGCTAATCTCTTATGTGCTCACTTGATCTCTTATACCTATATTTAATAATTTTTTTTTGATCAAAACCCAAACCCCCAAATTAAATCATTCCCGGTGTTCAAAACTAAACCCTAAACCCCATATGGATTATTGAACCCTTGGGCAAATATTTAAGTTCTATACCTTTCAAATTTCGAAAAATTATATTTTAAAATCGTTTTAATCATATTTTGATGATTTTCGCAAAAATAGGAAAATTTGTTTTTTTTTTTTTGAAATATTTTTTTATTAAATTCTATAAATCAAATAAAAAATATTCACGTTTCCAATATAATTTTATGATTTTCGTTAGACAATATAAAATTAAAAGAAGAAATGTGTGATAGAAAGATTAGAATATGAGATATAGGGGTATGAGAGGAATTGCCTCATCTTCTCCCAAGCCGTATTTTTTAGATGTAATCTCTTATGGACTCACTTTATCTCTTATACCCCTATTTCATAACTTTTTTTTATCAAAATCCAAATTTCCAAATTAAATCTTTTCCGGTGTTCAAAACTAAACTCTAAACTCCCTTTATGGATTAGTGAATCCTTGGACAAATATTTAAATTCTATGCCTTTCAAATTTTTTAAAAAATATATTTTAAAATATATTGTTCAATCTTACAAGAAATCTTTAAGGTCGGGAAATGATTTGTTGCTTGAAGGAGTGCCTTTTGACATACTTTTTCTCATTCTAGTACTGTTGAGAACTTTTTGAAGCTTGTAGAAGCTAATCATCTTGATTAGCTAACGTTTTCTCTGTATCTATAGGAGTTTTTTTTTTTCAGTTTTATTATACTTACTATAATAATTGCTAAATTCTATGTCGTAATAATAATATACGTGAGACGATTGTTTTGTCAAAGGAACCCACGATATCAAAGTTAATTATTTTCCATGTAAACAACTCGGTATTGGAGAGGTCTATTCCTTAAGGTGAGGACCGTGAAGGCTAATTCCACCAATTGGTAAATAAAACTACTTGCTATGCTTTTATGTCATGTTCTGATATAAAATGCCATTCCTGAAAAAAATGAAAATTTTAATGGGAAATAAAGACAAAATAGGACAAGATGTGACTTTTGTTTACCTTCTTCTAGTACGTATCTTAACCAAAAACATTGTAGGTGGGAGATCACTGTATCTGTATCCAAATAAAGACACATTTTTGAACTTGACAGGCCGCAAGATATGACCTTTGAGAACCAATCAACAAATCAAAACGTTTGGAAATTATGCTCGTTGATGAAAAGAGTAATTGTAAATTTGTAAAAACTATCGTATGTATCTCTTATCTTCAGATCATTTGATAAAGAACGTATATCTGTTCTTACGTACAGTTGAAAACATTAGCATTTTAATGATCTACCATACTTTAATACTAATAATTTAATTTGGATTGATAAAAAAAAAATACTAATAATTTGAGCTTATCAATTATCAGTGCTAACTTAATATAAAGAAATTTTAAAGGAATATATTTACTTATTTCTTCTCATAACAAGTTAACAACAATGACCTAAAATATGTAACTCCGAATGACCTTATTTGTATGCAGATTAGATTTTAAATTTTGATGTTTGTTGATCTTGTTATACATATATAGCTGTACTACATTCTGGCCGAGTATCATTTGAGTGACTCGAGGACAAAAACTAAAACAACGTTATATATACACGTTGGGTTGTCTGTACGTAGAACATTTATTTACTGTCAATGCTGTTTTTGTGAATAGAAAGTGTAAATTAAGTTGATAGAAGTGTAAATATAGTAATACAAATATATTAATACATTTTCTAGTAAGTAGTAATATTGATTGGTAATTTTCATTGGATAAACTAATTGTTAACTAGTGCTAAATTAATTCAAAGATGATGATATCATATAAGAAGATGACTTGTTCAAATATATAATTTTATAGCCACTAGAACATTTATCTCCTTCTTGAGTACAATACCTTACTATTCATATTATAAATTTACATCCACACAACATAACCAAAATAGAGCTTTCACATTTTCTTGATTTCAAGAAAAACAGAACTGACGTGGAATATTCGTCTAACAATAGCCGACCAACGTAGCTAAAACGATAAGACGTCGAAACGTGTCAAAATAATAACCATGAAATTGCATCTTCTGTCTTGTATTTTCGTCACTTTCATTAATTATTTTCATTCAGTTTTCGTTTTCAGTTCTATTGTCAGAGATTCTCATCAATTTGGCATAGAGGTTGGAATTATTGATGAAGAGAGAATGTATAAATGATTGGTGGGTACCTCATAACGTGGCAATATGTAAGTGGTTGAGAAAACAGACGGCTATGATGAGTTGGATTCCACCAAATGGACGGTGATGATATGTTTGTCGGAGCTAGCGACGGGTCGATTTCCGGCGTGCCAACCTTCACGTGTCATCTTTTGATCAAAATCACATGGTCTTGACATCAGTGGAATCTAGACCCCTCCCGTTTCTTTACACCCTGGTTTTAGTGTGATACACTAATAATTATGTAACGTATCCGTTGAAGCCTTTCTATATGTGGGGCTAGTTCATGCTCCATGATATAATATTGATTTTGTATCCTATAATCCAAGGGTTTTACCTACGGTTAGCAATTTTTAACGATTTCAACTAGATTGCTTTTTTTTATAAATTTTAGAACTTAAAATTGTTTCATGGAAATTTATGTACATATACTTTTTATCAAAAAAATTTGAGATCAAGACCAATGTTCTATCAGGTCATTTTTTATCTAATACTTGTTATATTGGATCTACTTAGCAGTAAGCCGTTAATTAGATCTGATATATTTCAATTACTCATCATATTCATACAAAAGTATGTAAAAAGAACCCATATGTATAGTTGTGATGTTGCTGAAATTCAATCTTACGTGACATTCACATGCAACGTTGAAATTAAAAACACCCTTAGACGTGGTAAGCTAATGGTTTAAACGCAATTGCCTGTAGACCTCCAAAAAATTAAGATCTAAGACCAAACTTCTCGTAAAATTCGAAAAATTGAAATTATAAACTTAAGCATTCTTCGTTACAATTAAGCCAAAGAAAGTTCTAGAATTATTAGGTGTAGAATGAAATGCTGGATCAATAAAATGTTGATATGAGTTATAGTTTTAAAACGCAATGGCATAAAAAAGTTGCGGCTTTAAAAAATGTGAAAAGATGACAGGTTATGGTATTGAAAGACAAAAAGAAGAGAGCATATATCATATACAAAAAAGAGCACCATATAGTGTATAATAATTGGGGTCGGTAGAAATGAAAATGACATTTTGGTGATGGGGCGGCGAGGCTAAGTTAAAGAAAACATAAACCTCCACTGTCTACCAGAAAAAAATAGAAAAGTTCAAATTTAAATGATCTCAAAATTACTAAAATATATCAAAAGTTGTGGTTCTAATAGCACTCCACCATCACCACTGATTGGTACTATTATAGTATACTACTATGATAGATAGATAGAACTCTACCTTAAACAAGTATATACGAGTGGATATAAAGTTCTGTAGTATGAGATCATATATAAACCAACTTATCGTATACTATATAAGTTTATTATTTACGTATTTGCATGTTCAATAGATTTGGATCCATATTTACGTATCTCGGACTTGGTTCAAAGTATTGTAGTTTTCTATACCGTAAAACTTGCATATTTCCAGATCTCATTATTTCCGTTTCCTAATTAAGATATTCAATGACTGTAAAAATGGAGCTAGGGTTATTTAGTTTAGTAATTAATCACTATTATCAAGCAATTATTAATCATAACTTTCATTTCATGACAACTAGCTTATAATTATTTTGTGAAAGTTAGTAAGCTCATAATTTCATAATCACTCATACATTTGTTTATTTAGAAAATATAGAACTTTATTCCATTACAGGAGCTTAAGACATACAATAACGTATATAATAATTCTAATTTTTTAATATTTTAAATATTCATGCAAAATAACAAGAAGAGCTCTCATCAGTCTCTTACTATAAAACCAGAGTACATGTTCCTCTCACTAACCACACAAACAGAGAAGCAAAAGCAAAAAAAAAACATTTGTTGGAAAGGAAACAACAAAGAAAGTAGTTATGGCTAAGGACGTGGAAGCCGTTTCCGGAGAAGGGTTTCAGACAAGAGACTACCAAGATCCACCCCCGGCGCCTCTGTTTGACCCGGCAGAGCTAACCAAGTGGTCTTTCTACAGAGCAGTCATCGCTGAGTTTGTAGCTACTCTCCTCTTCTTGTACATCACAGTCTTGACAGTCATCGGTTACAAGATTCAGACAGACAGTACTGCCGGTGGAGTAGACTGCGGTGGAGTTGGAATCTTAGGTATCGCTTGGGCTTTTGGTGGCATGATCTTCATCCTTGTCTACTGCACCGCCGGTATCTCTGGTACGATACTTCTTGAATCTTGATCTTGGCTCGGTTTAGAATCATGTGGTTGAATTTATCTTTTTTGGCTTTGAATATAAGAGTTAGTTGTAGAAACATTTATTAAGAGTCATTAAAAATAGCTATGCCATAATTTGATGTTACATAGAATGTTAATACCAATTGATTTTTTTAATAGAAAAATCGTTTTGTTATAGACGATTTGCGCTAAAGTCATCTCTATCCTCACTCGATAATTTACTCGAAAATAGAATATGAAATAGAGTATTTATGGAATGGGGATAAAGATGTTCTAAATGAACATCTAAAACATCCGGAGTTATTTAGAATATCCAGAGTTAATTGTTCTTATATTGGGATATGTGCCTTAAAAATGTCAACTGATCACATTTGACTTTGTGTGTCCTTAGGTGGTCACATTAACCCGGCAGTGACATTTGGCCTACTCTTGGCACGAAAAGTGTCGTTAGTTAGAGCCATTCTTTACATGGTAGCTCAGTGTTTGGGTGCAATATGTGGAGTTGGGTTCGTCAAAGCCTTCCAAAGCGCTTACTACGTCCGTTACGGTGGTGGAGCCAACTCTCTAGCCGAGGGGTACAGCACAGGAACCGGTCTCGCCGCAGAGATTATTGGTACTTTTGTTCTTGTTTACACCGTCTTCTCCGCCACCGATCCTAAACGCAGTGCCAGAGACTCCCACGTTCCAGTAAGTCATATTAAAAACATTAGTTTTTTTTTTTTTTTTATAAAAGGACGTGTTATAAACTGATATGTTTTCAATTATATACTAATAATTAATAAATGAAATAAAAGGTGTTGGCGCCACTTCCCATTGGATTTGCGGTGTTCATGGTGCACTTGGCTACCATTCCCATCACTGGAACTGGAATTAACCCGGCAAGGAGTTTCGGAGCAGCTGTTATCTTCAACGAGAGCAAACCATGGGATGACCACGTATGAACTTTTTGGCCTCATTCTATTAAACTAATTATTTTAGGTTATAACAATTAACCATTTTTAATTCAACTAAAACTTTGATTTGACAAAATGTAACAGTGGATATTTTGGGTGGGACCATTTATTGGAGCGGCAATAGCTGCATTCTACCACCAGTTCGTTCTGAGGGCTTCAGGTTCCAAGTCTCTCGGATCTTTCAGAAGTGCTGCCAACGTCTAAACACTCTCTCATCCACCACGCAGATTCTGAAATAATAAAGATGATAAATCATTTTCTCTATGTACAAATTATCCAAATCAGTTTAAGTTTGTGATCTTATTTTGTGTTATCTACTTTCTCTTTTGTGTATTTTCCTTGAGTGTAACTGTTCTTATTTTACTCCAATGCCAAGTTTATCGAGTGATTGGAATTGAAAATCAAAAGAGTTTATGGTTGTGTTTGCGTTTTTATGAAGAAATCCACAATTCTTTTGGTAAATTTGAAATGTAAACGGAGATGTTTCATGGACTGGTGACTGGTCAAGATGCCAAAGAGGAAGCACCATTTTCGTAAGCAAATAGAGTACTATTAATAGTAAGCATGTCATCAGGCTACATGGTACTAAACAGAGCACTAAAACCAGTAGAAACACACTCACATACACAAAGTTCATTGTGGCGAATGCTTATTTTGGATAGAACCGAGGAACTGCCAAGTCGCTGGACAAAACTTCTGCCGGCTTTGCTCTATACATGAGCAAAGATTTTAGCAAACATAGAAAAACGACATAAGTATTGTAGTTTATTCAGCTTAAGTGGTTTAATGAATTCAACGTTTCTATATAGTTATAAATATCTTCTTGTGTGGACTCTTCTGGATAAGAACATATCAGTATTAAATCTACACTCTCACTCTGATTCACTCTTTTATACATATGTATCAGTATTCTATTTTCTAAAGCTTTTCTTCACATTTTAGCAAAAAAAAAAAAAGCCTTTCGTCACTCACAAGAATATGATTTTATGTCTATTACTACATCAGAAGAAACAGTGCTCAGAAAAAAAGATGAAACTACTTGTATCTTACATTTGATTCAACATTGATCATATCATACAATAAAGGTTAAAATGTTACATCCCTCCTTCAAGATTATACTGAATTGTAATGAACCTCAGACCATAAGCTTAAATATATAACTAACCAAAAAGCCAAAACATAAATTATTATGAAGAAAAGTGACTTACTGAACAGAGAACCTTGCGTATATGGTTTACAGAAAGATAGTGGCAAGATCTCAAAGTAACATGTATCCTTGAATGAAAGCTTACAACAAACATCTCAGTTCCTTAAAGATACATTTTTAATATTTTCAAACATTTAATATATATTTTAAATTAGTGTTATAAATGTATTACATTTTGTAGTTATCAATTTTCAATAACTTTTAACTAATAGTAATTTAATTAATTCAATTTTTTTTTTTTTATAATTTCTACATAAAAAATAATACTATTTTTTTCTTTCTAAAACATCTATCTTACTCAAATAGAGATAGAGAGAGTATTAATTAAAGATCAAAATGGTGTGTACACATTTGATAGAAAAGGTATGCATACCTTAAACATGAAAAATGCTGTTAAACTATACAAGCCGAGGAAAATATATTGCGACTCTGACTAAAGAATCTTATGTAATGTTGTACCACTTAACTTTTCTCTCAATTTTGTGTATACGATAAAATCTCTACGAGGTAGCATTTGTTAAATTATCGAGTAGTATAAGATAGTATTCTCTCTGCATGTTATTTGATTCTGAAAAAGGTATATTTTTGATCACGCTACATCTCACCACAAAGAGAGATACTAGAACATTTAAATACCATTCACTCTGCAACCATGTTCCAGAAGACAGACATACAAACAATAAATAAACACACAAGAGCACTCGAGAGAAAAGATAACGCTTCTCTTACAGATCAGCCTGCTTTTTCCATGAATGTTTCTATCAATGTTGAGCCATTGAGGATCTTTGTTGTAGCAATAATCAAATCATAAGCCATTCCTTCCTGAAAAAAAGAAGCGGTTGTTTAAGGGTTCAGGAATAAGCGAGCAAAATAAGTGTTATTTTGATCATAGGCTCTTTGGAAGTTTGCAAATTACCTTAGAGGCGAGAAAGCGTAAAGCAGAGATTTCAGCAAATGTTACACCTCCAATGAAGACAACAAGAACAACTGAGCGTCTTCCATCAGCAACCCTGTAATCATGTCTTAACATATATTAGTATAGTTCAATGTTTTATCCTTTTGTAGAAACTAACAAATTGTTAATGAAAATAAACTTACCCATTTGAAGCTCCATGCAATGAATCAACTGATGGACTACTTGGGAATCCACTCTGCATAGAGATGGTAAATGCATATGGTAAATAATAAATAGTCGATAAGAGAGAATATAATAGTACAACAAGACTACGCATTTCCTCTTTTTTTTCCTCTCTATTTGGGTAAACGTCTACTCACTCTTTTAGTTTCCAGATGCGGTCCTGGCAACAGCTTCAAAATATCTTCTATTGGACGCCTGTAAGGTAGATTGAGTCATCAAATAATAAACACACCACTCCTTCAACTTTCATATATGAATTAGTAAATGTTCTTTCAAGTTCTTATATTTGCTGAGTTTTTCTTCTGATATGAATCGAACTTGGACAGGATTCTAGACTTTTTTCTCTTCATGATTATATATATACTTCTTTAGAGAAGCCAAAGTGCTATATACACAGGGTAGCTAGTCAATAATTTGGTTTAGAAAAATGCAAGAATCATACTAACCATCCGGAATGAATAGCTTGTTGGACAAGACGAATGCTAAGAGGAGCATATCCAGAATACACATAAGCGATATCATCCGGCCTGCAACAAGAATAGTATTTGTAACAACTCAGATATTGGTACAAGGCCTAGCAAATCAGGCGAATGAAGGTAACATGTGACATGATATCACAAATGCAACATATGAGAAAGTGATGACATCAAACCATAAATGCACAAAATAAAATACCATAGACAAACAAGGAGAAAACGGATTGCAAGTCGAGAAAAAAGGAGAGTCCTCATGGATCAACAAAATTTGCTAGTCAAGAATGAACTTCATAAGCTAAATCCCCATAAACAAAAATCATGTCATCATGCTTTCAGTTGGTGACAACATGATCAAAAAGAATAGTTACCTTGACGTATCTGTGTCTTCAACTATAAGTTTCAATGTACGTTTCACTGTCTGCCAGTTGCTTTTAAACTCCTGTAGAAACCAAACAACAAGCTCTTAGAATATCAGACACACTTAACCTCAGACTACAAGAAGTTTGTTCATTCCACAAAGAGCCAAGAATAACCAAACCTGTTTCTTCAACAATCCTGCTTTTTCCAAGTTGTTCAATGCGGCAACATGCTCAAACCCATAACTGTGGAGTAATTCCGTTCTGGAAGTTGAGACACGAAAACAAAATATGATTGAAGTAACAGAAAATAAAAATATTGTAGTAAAGAATGACTAACGAAAGCTTAACTTGCCTTATATAATCAAATTGCTTTTTTGGTAACCCTGAGTTTGTGACAGAAAATAGTACCAATAGACGCAGGACTTTAGTGAGAGGCTCCTGTTTATGGATCATTTCTTCTATGTACTCAAAGCATCTGTATTAACAAATATGAGTTAATAATAATATATCATATAATAGACTTATGCATTATGCCATCAACGTAAGATGTTTTTCAAATCCCTTGTAACAGAAAGAAACATCAAAATATTTTTGAATGGAAGTAACTGCAATTTCCTAAAGAATAAACTTACATGTCATAACTTTCTGCCTCAACAAGTGTCTGTTCCATGTCAAGCTGCGAAAGAAACGACTGCTTGGACGTGAACGTTGTTAGGTGCTGAGCAAGATGTATGTGCCTCTGGGAAATAATAAAAATCATAACAAATTAAGTCACCATGAAACTAATCGTGTTCTGAACCATCTGCGAGATAATAGAAAATGAACAAAGAGAAAACAAGGCAATACTTACTGTCATCTCTGGTAACGAGTTAAGCTTCTTGACGAAGTCCTTTAGCTCAGAAACTGTCTGGGTCTGTAGATTATATTACCCCATTAAAATTTCAGTCCAACTAATAATCTAAGTGGAAAATGTATGGATAAACTGATAGTTCCCTTAGGCATAACATGGTCTCTACCAATTTGGTAACTATTTCTGTGCTGAAAAAAAGAAACCCTCCTGATCGATGGCTAAGAGATTTGAACACAAATATGAATGTACCATAACCTCTACGGGAAGAGAGAGAGAAACGTACAGAATTAATTTCAGTATAGTCCTCCTTCATGGTTGTTGCCTTCTGCCGTAGAACCTGCAATCATACTGCGACTGGAAGATGAGTAAAGAATTCCAAGTCACAAAAAAAACAAAAAAAACCAAAAGGACAAAGGTCAACCTGCACAACGACTTCAAAGTTGAGATCCCTTGTCTCCTTGAACAATTTATCACTGTCAATCAAACATTCAAGAAATAAAGATGTTTTTAGTTCAGCATATCCTACGTACTTGCACGTTTATGAAAGGCAAAGACGCATGTAGATTGGAAAGTCCAATCTAGCTTCCGGTTAAGAGAGCGCTTTGTGTACATTATCAATCAATACACATGAATAGTAGCAAAACAGAAATCACTATTTCTATTCCATGCATCACACATTCTCACAGAAATCATAGAGCATTGCAATAAAAAATTATCTCATATATGATGACAGAAACTAACCTTGAATTAAGGGGAACCTTCATCTTTTTCCCTTCCTGCTGAGAACCCATCACAGATGAGTCGACTTCGACAGCTCCATTACTGATATGCAAAAACTTCAAATAAAGGTTGGAGTCAGCTCATAGAAAACCCAATCGACCAGCTTCACGTAAATCCAAATTGTGTGGTTGTTGATTATCATTGCAATTGCAACCAATGAAACCAAATATTACTATAAAGAACTCAGTAGGGTAATGACAAAGCCCGTGCAAAACTAATTTGGCATTCACACCTTTGTAAGACTTTTTAATGAGAAGAGAAAGCGAAAACACTCAATTTGACTCAAACTTCTAGTAAAGCTACACAAAGACAGTATCCGTAAATAGTAAACCAGTTGCCCTGCCGGGATTTAAAATTAGTCAATCTACTTTAGTCAAAACAGCAGTATCCAAATTTTGAAGCATTACCTCGTTTAACAGTCCCTCATAAGTTAATTGGGTACACATTGGTGTAACCATGTCAACCTGGAACAGAAGGTATAAAAGTTCATTAGAATTAACTCTCCCAACATTCAAATCTTGAAGGAAATATTTGTGATCAAGGATAACATACAAAGCGGAACACATGATAAGCATACCTCTCTATCCAACAGAATGAGTGTATCTATTTCAGGCCTTCCCACCTGGAATAGAACTTGCATCATTCAGAATAATGGCAAAATGAAACAGTATAAGATAGCGAAATCATTGAATATTATAGCACTCAAAACGTTGCAGGCAAATTTTACATCATTCGTATTGACAGGTTCCTCCACTTGCATGCGGTTAAGTATATCTGCAACACGAACTGATCCTTTTCCCTTCGCCCTCACTTTCGGTATAACTCCAAAAGAAAACTATGAAAGAAGTCAGTCATGAGAAAGCAGTATGTGGATCATAACCTACAGAAATAAGTAAATATTCAAACCTCGAGCTCATGTATTGCTTTTGCAACATGCCAAAGTGAACTAACATCACCATCGACAAGGCAATCCTATCATTTAAAAAAAAAGTAAAACAAGATAAATAGAAATGTGTGAAGTGAAGGCCTCAGGGACATGAAGTAATAAGTAGAAATTGGACAAATGTGAGTTGTACACACTTTTTCAGAGAGGTCAAGCTCAAATGATATCACATCCTCATCTAGTGGAACCATATACAAGGGAAACTCCTTCACGGTAACCAGGTTATGAACTTTTTCTTGCTCAAGAATCTGAAACAAAAAATAAATTACTACTCTCTATTCAAGAGGTGGTGGTAAAACAAGCAAAACTGGATCACAAGTACCTTCTCACACGCAACAGACCTACGAGGAACAAAGTAAACGTA